TGATGGCCAAACAGAGTTCCACGGACTCACCCCTTCAATGTCCAGCACAAGAGAAGAGAAGAGAAGAGAAGAGAAGAGAAGAGAAGAGAAGAGAAGAGAAGAGGATTGATACCCCGCCTTTCACTACCCAAAGGAGTCTCAGAGCGGCTTACAAACTCCTTTCCCTTCCCCTCCCCACAACAGACACCCTGTGAGGTAGGTGGGGCTGAGAGAGCTCTGACAGAAACTGCTCTTTTTCAAGAACAGCTCTTATCAGAACTACGGCTTGCACAAGGTCATCCAGCCAGGTGCAAGTGGAGGAGAGGAGGAATCAAACCCAGTCCTCCCAGATTAGAGTCCACGCACTTAACCACTACACCAAACTGGCTCTGGAGGTTGGCAACCTAAGTATGCACACCGTGAATGACGAAAACTGCAATCTATATAAACAATCAAATTTCTGTAATGCAATTAACACCTCGATTTCTATGTGCCAAAAAATCCAGCAGTCTTTTAGTGTCCCTTATAAACTGACGATACAGTCACGGTCATTCACTCAACAGGTGAACTCCACGTATTCCAACCATCAAGCGTCCTTGCCTGGGATTTGACCTTGTTGAAAACGGGAAGCGACGGAGGTCGTCAGGCGACTTATCTTCCATTCTGTGCTTCCACAAGGCTCACAGACAGGACTCCAGCAGGCCAGCTACGATGCCTGTTTCACCAGCTTCTTCTTGGGAAATCGTACTCAGGATGAAACGTTTGGCTCTCAAATGTTTCATTGTTTATACAGATTGCAATTTTTGTCATTCTTCACGGTGCGTATGCTTAGTTTGACAACCTGTCCTGTGATCTCTCTACTTCTGTAACCACCTGGAGGCTGGTAACCCTACAGGTAAGCAAATCCAATCTAAAGACAGAAGAAGGATCCATGGCGGGGGGGGGGGAGGACCACTCCCAACACCTGGCAGGGAAGTGCGTGCAAAAGAGGAGAAAAGGGGGTGTAGACTTCTCCAAGTCACATCTGGGTTCAAGTTTGATGGAACTCAGATCTGCATGAGACGGTGGGTAGTTTTGTACCGGCCTTTTCCTTACCAGACAGTCCCTCTGCAGGGTTTTCACCACAGCACTGAAGGTGTCTGTATCCAGCATGATGCCTTCCGGCATGTCCTGCATGAAATCCAGGTCCTTGTAGGTGGGGCTGGACTTCTCCTTCTCCTTCTTGGATGCCCGGCGCTTGTAGGTGGAGCCCTTCAGGTCATACTTCAGATGCATCTTCACCACCCGGGGCAGGATGTTGTTCATGACCACGACCCGGATGTTCTTGCCGCCGGACTGGACACAATAGAGGCCGTAGAACTTGGGAAGCAGCGTCCGCGGATTCTGGTTCAAGTTCTGTTGCGGGGGGTGGGGAGATGGAACACAGACAAGAACAGGGGGAGAGGATCACTGGAGAGGCGCAGCTATTGGGTTAAATGTAAAAAAAAATAAAATAATTTGCCTTGGAAGCACAGAAGCTTTACGCAGTATCCCCGTTTCTCCGTGTTGCTCGGTTAAGAGGGGAAATGCTGTTCAAACAAATTACAAAGATAACCTGGCTCCAATGGTATCATAGAATCATAGAACGTTAGAGTTGGAAGGGACCTTGCAGGTCATCTAGTCCAACCCCCTGCACTCTGCAGGAGCGTGGCTGAAAGACAGCCCTACATAGGAGAAAGAAATTTTACTTGCAAAAGCAGAAGCACATCTCACATGAAATATTCATGTGGGAGAAGGAGGAGGAGGAGGAGGAGGAGGAGGAGGAGGAGAAGAAGAAGATTATACCCTGCCCTTCACTTGGAGTCTCAGAGCAGCTTACAAACTCCTTTCCCTTCCTCTCCCCACAGCAGACACCCAGTGAGGTAGGCGGGGCTGAGAGAGCTCTTGATATAAACTGCTCTTTACAGCTCTTATCAGAACTACGGCTTGCCCAAGGTCATCCAGCCAGGTGCAAGCGGAGGAGTGGGGAATCAAACCCGGTTCTCCCAGATTAGAGTCCGCGCACTTAACCACTACACCAAACTGGTTGACCTGCTACAGCTCCAAGCCCAGGTAAGAGAGGAGAAGAAGAGAGGTCCTACAGAAGATGAAACACAGAAGGCAAGCGAGGGCCACAGAGGCTCAGCATCTAACCCATGAGAGGAGGGTGGGGCCAACTGCCCAGTGTACCCCAGGGAGAGAATTCTCTTAAGTTAACCAGGGCTCTTTTAGTAGAAAAAGCCCAGCAGGAACTCATTAGCATAATAGGCCACACCCAACAGCAGAAACTCGCTAGCATATTAGGCCACACCCTGACAGCACAGCTCATTGGCATATTAGGCCACAACCCCATGCCTTCCCTTGGCTTGCCTGGGTGGCCCACGGCTGCGGGGAGTCTGGGCAAGCCCCCCTTTGAAGGGAGGGCACTACCTTCCCTTGGCTTGCCCAGGTGCCTCGCGGATGTGGGGCGCCTGGGCAAGCTGGCCCTTGGACAGGCCAGGGAATGCACAGGGAGGCATTTTCCTTCCAGGGCCCCCCTGGAGTCGCGGGGGGGGGATTTGCTCTCCAGGCCTTCCCTCTGTAGCCACGCATGCAGAGTGGGCGTGGCCAACTGTGGAGCCAGCCGGAACTCCATTCCTGTGTGTTCCTGCCCCAAAATAGCCCTGCTCTTAACCCTTTCCCTCCCAGATCCTCTTAAAATGCAGAGCTACAATATCCAACACCCGGAGGGGGGGTGCATCCTGCACTGACACCAATCCCATCCCAGACCTGCATCATCCCGTTGGCCTCACCAATCCCAGACTGGCATCATCCCGTCGATCTCAAATTTCACAGCTTGGCAATGATCGGATTTGTACAAGGGGTGTACGGCATAAAAACAGAACGCCCACGAGACCCAAGAAGTGTGTGAAGCTTGAGTCAAAGCACAGAGATAACAGTATCGATGGAAATATCATACAAAATGAGTCATAAAAACACAGGCGGAGACAGGAATTCATGAAGCACGCTCAAGAATAATACCACATGCGTATGACGAACGGACTTGCAAGCCGACGATCATAACACCGAGTCAAAGCAAGCACTTGTGGGTATTGCGCAGGTTTCCTCCCTTTCTGCATTATGTGCAAAGAGAGAAAGGAAAGCTACAGATTCCCAGAGTAGGATTCGTTGACAGCTGGAGAGACGAGCTCGAAGCCAAGCAAGAAACGCATGAGGAAACCTCAAAAGCAAAAGGTTCGCTTCTGCGAAGTGAGGCTTCAGCACAGAAAGACCCCCTCAGCTGTTTCCCGGCCCCACAAGGGATCAGAGGAACTACGCAATACAAGCAAGGGTGTATGTTGCTAGCTTTAAGGGAAGGCTGGAATGCAGAGGGGTATAGCGTGGCATGACGCAGGCTCTTTTTGGCATGCCCTCAACACACACACAAAAGGCAATTTCAGAAGAAGCTGGCAGAATCAAGGAGAGAATGTAAAATCATTTTGGGGCACACTGCAAATACCGCAGAAGACAGAAGAACAAATTTACAGTCCAGTGGCACCTTCAAGACCAACCGAGGTTTATTCAAGGTATGGGTTTTCATGTGCAGGCGCACTTCTTCAGACACAGCACACGAAAGCTCAGGCCTTGAATAAACCTTTGTTTATTATTGTTAAAGGTGCCACTGGACTTTCAACTTGTTCTGCTGCTTCAGACCAACACAGCTGACCACCTGGATCTACCCACAGCCTTAATTCGAAAGCCTCGGCGAGTACATAAAATGGGAACCACTCCTTAGAGAGGGTGGGCACACCGACTCCCTTCTGGGAAGGTGTTAGCTCTCGGTTGGAGACGTCCTGGTCAGGACCCGGAAGGCATAAGAATCTACTCAGCTAAGAAAATCCCGGCAGTGGGATGCTCCGGCCAGGCGGTGGCAGTGTGGCAATGCAGCTGTCGGAACATGACTGAGTCAAGCCAGAAACGTTTCCACCGGGCAGTACGGCGTGTGCAACTTGAATTATATGTTGTCTTCCCTATCCCCTATGAAAAACATTGTTAGTCCCCTGTCTAAAGAGTAACCGTAAATCACTTTGAGCCCACTTGTGGGGAAAGCGATTAATAAATCGAAAGTATTATTATTATTATTGTTGTTGTTGTTGTTATTATTATTATCATCATCATTATCAATTTAGCGTCTCTTGGGAGGGCTAGTTGTATTTTGGTGGTTTATCCTCGTCACGGTTTTTGTTTTTAATCACTGTATTTCGACACCTAGACAAGCTGGGACGGACTGGGACGTAAATCTGCATCTAAGTACTACTGTTAGGGACAGGTTAGGGTGAAGGGCCGCACCTTCACACAACAGTCGAGATGACGCCATTGTGGCTACGACCAGTGTTTCCTCTAAGCTGAGTTAGTGGGAGCTAGCTCACAGTTTTTTAGCCTCTGGCTCACACATTTTTGTTTCAGCTCAGGAAGGAGGGCTCCAGAGCGAACTAATTTATGCAGTAGCCACATCTCTCACTCAGCTTTAATGCCTGTAGCTCACAAAGTAGAATTTTTGCTCACAAGACTCCACAGCTTAGAGGGAACATTGGCTACGACCACGAGCTGGAGACAGAAGCACCTGATTCAAACCTCACCTATGCACAGGGTTGCCAACTGCCTGGAATAAAAAAACGCCCTGTGACTTTCATATGGGCTTAATGGGATATGATTTACCAGGCGTTAGTAAATTCCAGGAAAAGAGCTTCCACTATTGTTTCCAGACATTATTCGGCCATCTAAAAGCCTCTTCCCAGAGAATGCGCTGTAACCAAACGCCTGCAACAAAGTTAAGCTTTGTTACCTGCTTGCGTTCCACAGAGGACGTTGGTCACATCATGACAACGTTTCCCTTTCCTCTGTCTTTCTACATTTTGGAACAACCAGCCTCATGAAGAAATCCGGTTGGTTCTAAGTCTGCACGACGTTTTGTGCCATTCGGATTGCATGCAATAAAAGATATCATGCAGATTTTGGCATTCTTTTTCTCCAGGCCTGTCGGCAACTCCACCTATTCCGTGAACAAATTCACTTGGTCTTAGATCAGCCGTCCACACTCTGTCAGGCAAGGAAAATGGCACCCAATCTTTGTAAGAAGGTTGGAATGGCACTTGGTAGATCATTCTGAAACTCTGTCCCCAATATGACGCTCCTCGCAATATGCTCTTCATTCCAACTTCAACCCTAGACAGGCCGGGCAAGAGAAGGGACCCCTTCTGCCCCGGACTGACGGCAACCAGGAAGTGGGTTCTGCTACGTACCATGTAGTATCCTGGGAGAAGCTTCTGGAGGAACTCTGCCTCTTTATGCATCACGGTTTTGATTATGAACTCGTCGTCGCTTGTGACGTAGAAGAGGGAGCCGCTGGCCCCAGGGTTGGACAGCTCGATCAGGGGTTCGTTGCACAAGGAATACTGAAGGGAAGGAACAAAAGAAAAGAAGAGTAATAATATGAAACATATCGTACTTCATGCCTTATGTATACTCGTTGTTCTAACATATGCATTGCTGTTCTGTGCTGTACTTTACCTTTTGAAAATTTAATAAAAAGTTCTTTAAAAAAACAAACAAAAGAAAAGAAGGGCCGTGGAAGGGTGCACGTGGGCAGGAGACAACGGCAGCAAGAATGGGAGCTCCCCGATGCCGCCCACATGGCTGACCTGCGCAATCCACAGGTCTCCTCGGCTACACATCCTGTGACAGATTTTAGCTGGGGGAAGGCCAGGGAGAAAAAGCCACACTTACCAAATAATCGTCTGGGCGAATGCCGAATAGTTCCCGGAAATATCGAAAAGCCACGGGTGCATAGGTTTTGAACCGGAAGTCGGGGTAGTGATGGGCAGGCGTGAGGTTGCTGCCTTCGCTGAACGGGGGACAGTGCAAGAGAAAGAAGCACCCGCATAGATCAGATAACATGTATTCACTCACAGCACTTCTACATGACCCTCGCCCTGGACGGCCCAGACTAGACCAATCTTGTCAGATCTCGGAAGCTAAGCAGGGTCGGCCCTGGTTGATACTCAAAGGGGAGACCCTCCAAGGAAGTGCAAGGTTGCTGTAGAGAGGCAGGCAACGGCCAAGCTTCTCCCTTGCACCGAAAACCTCACAGGTTCGCCATGAGTCAGCTGTGACTTGATATCGCTTTTACCAGCAATTCCATGCAAGCCAGAGTGGTATAAAAGTTACAGAATTGGACTAGAACTTGGGAGACCGGGGTTTCCCTCGCCCCTGCTCTGCCAGGAAACTTGCTGGCGGGGTGACCTAGGGCCAAGTCACTCTTGTAGCCTAACCCATCTCCTAAGGTCACTGCGAGAATAAAGCAGAGGTGGGAAGAACCAGATACCCAACTCCTAAGACCCTTAGAGATGGATATCAATACTGCCAGAGCTGGCTGCAGTGCACGCGCCCCCTGGATCTTTCCCTCCCTTTCCCGGTTCCCTTCTGAGGGTGACAAAGATATCAGCACTCCAGGCTGCGAGCCGCACGAGAACAGTGTGTTTACGCCACACATGGAGACCTCTCTTTTCTGCCCGCCCTTCCCTCAAGCTCTCGCCACCATCCATGGACATTACCTGGGAAAGAAAATGCTCTCCACGACGTAAAAATCCTGCATCAGGACATCTCTTTCCGGCTTGGAACTCAAGTTCCCCACGGTGTAGCCAATGCCGAGCGAGAAGATGGACCACTGGTCTGATCTAGCAAAGCTCTTCTCATGTTCTCAGGATGCTGGAGAAGATGGACCACTGGTCTGATCTAGCAAAGCTCTTCTTATGTTCTCAGGATGCTGGAGGAGATGGACCACTGGCCTGATCAAGCAGGGCTCTTCTGATGTTCTTACTTCTACACGTGGGCAAGGAGGGTTGAGATGGCATCACGATCAGTCCATTTTCTCCTGCTACTGAACCAGGCTCCAAGAGACCTCTGGACTTTGCCATAACTCCTGTTGTCATTTGAATTGGCATTGTCTTTGAGATTGTGTTCATTCTAGAAGAAGAAGAAGAAGAAGAACTGTTTTTGGATGGAACTTTATGCTTGGTAGCCCTGATCTGGATGTCCCAGGCTATCTGAATCTCATCAGCTCTCGGAAGCTAAGCAGGGTCGGCCCTGGTTGATACTCAAAGGGGAGACCCTCCAAGGAAGTGCAAGGTTGCTGTAGAGAGGGCAGGCAACGGCCAAGCATCTCCCTTGCACCAAAAACCTCACAGGTTCGCCATGAGTCAGCTGTGACTTGATATCACTTTTACCAGCAATTCCATGCAAGCCAGAGTGGTATAAAAGTTACAGAACTGGACTAGAATTTGGGAGACCTCGCCCCTGCTCTGCCAGGAAACTTGCTGGCGGGGTGACCTAGGGCCAAGTCACTCTTGTAGCCTAACCCATCTCCTAAGGTCACTGCGAGAATAAAGCAGAGGTGGGAAGAACCAGATACCCAACTCCTAAGACCCTTAGAGATGGATATCAATACTGCCAGAGCTGGCTGCAGTGCACGCGCCCCCTGGATCTTTCCCTCCCTTTCCCGGTTCCCTTCTGAGGGTGACAAAGATATCAGCACTCCAGGCTGCGAGCCGCACGAGAACAGTGTGTTTACGCCACACATGGAGACCTCTCTTTTCTGCCCGCCCTTCCCTCAAGCTCTCGCCACCATCCATGGACATTACCTGGGAAAGAAAATGCTCTCCACGACGTAAAAATCCTGCATCAGGACATCTCTTTCCGGCTTGGAACTCAAGTTCCCCACGGTGTAGCCAATGCCGAGCTGGATGGCCCCTTTGAGCGTGGACGAAGTGGTCTAGGGAAGGCAAGAAGCGAACACTGTCAACAGAGGCTGTTGTGGGACTGCCTGTAAAGCTGAGGTGAGGATGCAGGTACAGGAAGACCTGGGGAGGAAAGGGCTCTGGCGCCGCAAGGCAGAGCCATGTGCCCCGGAAAAGATGGATACATACACAATAGAGGCAGAACCAGCAGACTAAAAAGCCACGGAAGCAAGCTCCACTTTAAGAATAGGACTGGTTGCCCATTAATACAAGGACCTTCTAAAAACACTGGGTTTACAAATGACTTCAGAAGCTGATGCAAACAATTTTGTGTCTAAATGACATTAGTCATTGCCATTGCTGAGGAAGTTCAACGAAACTGAGTTTAGAATATCGGGATTCTTCGTTTATATGCTACATGCAGTTGAAGACTTCTCTGCTGAACTTATATTGTTTGATTTCTCTATGTGCTAGTTGTTATATGCTACAAGTGACTTGAAGACTTAAGACTTCTTTGAAGACTTCTGTGTTATACCTATACTTTATTGGATCTATTTACATGTATGGGCTTTACTGCTTTGTCTATCATTAATACTATCATGATATATATTTCTGTAGTGTTGTTTGTTACACAGCTGTAGTTGCCATTTGACCCAGAACAGCTGGAATCACATCTGTTGCCATCCCCGACTGGCTGAAAAGCCCACTGGTCCCTGCAAGGAGGGAGGAAGAGAAAGATGACCAGAAGAGCCAGTCCTGAATGGACGCTAAGCAAGACATGATGTGATTCATGACCTTTCTGCTGTTTCTCTTCTTGAGTACCATCTCTCTTCTTTTTGAGCATGCTGACAGTTGAGCATCACCTTGAAAGGAGGAGGTCCTAAAATAACTGTATCTGGGCCTGTAGCTACAGTGGGGCATTCTGGGGCCCTGCCCCCTTAACTGAAAGCCACGCCCCCACAAATAACCATGCCAGAAACCTTGTGTTCAAGGAGAGACACCCCCGCTTCCTGCTGCTGGCAGAGTCAGGGTGAGAGCACCATGGCTTGCCCTCAGGCTTCCCTCTCCCTCCCACTGTGGAATTGGAGGGGGGGCATCATGGGACCTCGGAAAAGACAACTCAGAGGGCATTTAATTGCATGTTTCCCAAAGGCTCATGGGAAAGCTTTTGAAAGACTCACCATGACCCAGGTGGTCTACAGCAGGACTGGGCTAGCAGAAAGGGGGCTTGTGGGAGATGTACTGAAGGTGCCACTCTTGAGTGCCCTTCTAAGCTTTCTTGCCCTGCAGAAGAGAACTCAAAAGGCCTTTAAATGCCTTCTGAAGGCGAGCAAATGCCCTCTGAGCTGTTTCCCCCCCTAGGAACTGACACGCTCACCGCCCTGTCCCTTGAAAGGAAGGGCTAGACACAGGCTCGGAGCAAGACAGACATTCAGATTAATTTAATTAACTATAATTTAACTACTCCCGTAACATCTTAAATCCTCCCCCCCGGGGGGGGGGGAATCCTGGCGACAGGCCTGACTGTATCGCAAAAAAAAAGAGTTGGAAACCTTCACCTTGCATTCTATAAAAGAGGAAAGTCTCAAACACGAGATGCATTTTCGAGTAGGAGTATCAGAAGCTTCTCCTCCGCCCCAATTTAATTAAGTCAAGCAGGTAGAAAGCTCCAGCGTCACGGGTGACTCCATGTAATGAGTTCGAAAAACACAAGCATTAACAGGAACAGCTTAAGCACGGAAGAGGTAGCTAGAGAAGTGGTGGCGGGGGGATGGGACGGGGGGGGGACAGTTTATTACAAGGCTGGGAACTGGTAGGAGACGATTGCCTGTGCTAATAAAGACACTGAGGGGGATTGAAACCAACGGCACAAAATGCTGAACAAAAACATTACTGTGTGCATTAAAAAAAACCCTCCCCAGCCTAAAAAGGAAAGGAAAAAACAGGTTTGATGAGGACTGAGCATGCTCAGTGCCCTGGGAATACTTAAAGTCACTGAGAGTCTATTAAAAGAAAATAAAGAGGGAGACGGAGAGACTGGCTGGCCAGGGCCCTAAGGACACAGAATATCCTGGAGGGGAGGCATCCGCCAATCATTTTCCCCACCCCCCACCCCCTGATCTTTCCAGCTCTCGGCTTCTATGTTAATGACAAAAACACTTATAGCTAGGAGGTGGAAGAGTAAAAAAAAATTATAATAAAAGACCATTGGCAAAAGGAGGGCTCTTGCAAAATGTCAGCAGGCGACACTTATGTGCAAAAATTACAGCAGGAGCCCCAAAATATGCTGCTTGGGAAAGGACGGCAGACCTACCGGAAAAGGGGGGAAAGACTTTGGATGGTCTTCTGTCTCAAGGCCACCTGCAGCCGGACCCCCAACCAATGCTCCCTCTAAGCTGTGGAGTCTTGTGAGCAAAAATTCTACTTTGTGAGCTACTGGCAATAAAGTTGTGAGCAAGCAATTTGGCTACTGCATGAATCAGTTTGCTTGGGAGCCATCCTTCCTGAGCTAAGACAAAACTGTGTGAGCCAGAGGCTAAAAAATCATGAGCTAACTCACACTAACTAAGCTTAGAGGGAACACTGCCCCCAACCCCAAGCCCACCTGGCTTATTAACTCAGCATGCGCAAGAGAGACAGAGAGAGAAAAGGCAGTCTTTGGCTTCCCACTCTGTCCCCAACCTCTGGGACTCCAGCACAGCGAGAGAGAGAAAAGGACATACCTTCTTGTAGGTCGTCTCCCCAGAGGCGTCCACTCCCCGGTGTCCTATCTTCTTCCCTTGGCCGGCCCCTGGCTGCCCTGTCAGGGACGGCGCCTAGAAAGGAAAAGTTTGGAGTTGAGCAGAAGCTAAGGAGGGAGACCCACGGGGGCCCGTGCAAGGCACGAGGAGTGCTGGGGTGAGAGCAGCGGCTGGCCTTTGTCCCTCCGGGGATGCTGAGAGCAGGCCTCCGAAGAGGGAGCACCGCAGTGTGCCTGGCACATCTCTCTCTCAAATGTACACCCCATATTCTTAACCCCACCGCTCCTTCAAGGTGGCTGACAACTGATAAAAAATCATACAACAACAAACAGTGCAGCACACAGTAGGAAATAGCAAAGAAAAACAGAAAACAACTGTGAGCTGAAAATCCCGCAGAAAATATACGAAAGGAGACTTCAACAAAGTGAAATGCATATATAGTCTGAAATGAATCTATTTATATAATCCCTCATAGGAAAATGCAGTCATGTTCTGGTCCTGTTACACAGAAGCTGCCTTTAGAGGTGCTGACTAGAGTTTACGAGACCTTGCCCGATGTTGAAGAAACAGAATAGCATTATCCTATAAGGAAATGGAATGAGACTCCCAATAGTTGTTCTTTGTTCCTGAGGAAGGACCAGAAGTCTAAAACACTGAAAATTACCTAGGAAAAGTGTTGGATATTTATCTTGTACGGGGCTTTTTTTGTAGAAAAAGCCCAGCAGGAACTCATTAGCATAATAGGCCATACCCAACAACAGAAACTCATTAGCATATTAGGCCACACCCCTGACAGCACAGCCTATTTGCATATTAGACCACACCCCCATGTTACCAGAAGTGTGGTCATCCAGCCACACCCACCTTTTGCTTCTTATTCTCTTTACCTTGTTTGTTGTCAAAACCCAGGGCTTTTTGAATGTTAGGCCACACACCCCTAATTGTACCCAATCCAAATGAGTTTCTGCTGTTGGGTGTGGCCTATTATGCTAATACGTTCCTGATGGGCGTGGCCAACTTGGGAGCCAGCCGGAACTCCGTTCCTGTGCGTTCCTGCCCAAAAATAGTATATTTATACTTTGGACTCTGTATTGTCCTATTATGGATCTCGTTGGCTTCTGTATCTTCCTATGATTTCAGTACTCTTTTGTGGAGTATTGTGACCAATGCTCCCTCTAAGCCGTGGAGTCGTGTGAGCAAAAATTCTACTTTGTGAGCTACTGGCATTAAAGTTGTGAGCGAGCGATTTGGCTGCTGCATCCATCAGTTTGCTCTGGAGCCATCCTTCCTGAGCTAAGTCAAAAACCTGTGAGTTGGAGGCTAAAAAACTGTCAGCTAGCTCACACTAACTCCGCTTAGAGGGAACACTGATGGGGAGGCCAATGGTCTCCCATCAGGATGAGTGATTAAAGTACCTGCTTAATTTGTTACAACTGGGCAGCTTCAAGTACTCCTGAGCCATTTCTGGATCTCTCTCTCTCTCTCTCACACACACACACACAAAATCTCTTTGCAGTAGCAAGATATAGAACTCTCACCCTGCCGTCACTAATGGAAACTGAAATTCTTTTGCTCCTAGGAACCCTGCTTGTTTGCACACTCATATGCCGGACTCGACGCTGAATCCACGGTTTCGTTGCTCTCCTGTCCTGGCTTTGGCTTTTTTCCTGTAATGCCTTTCCTGACCAGAGCACTCTGGATAGAAAAACAGCTTATCGGCCTCAAGCCCTGCTCTACTTCTGGTCAGGAACAATGAGAGCATTTGGCGACGGCGGATAACCTGTGCTTGGCACATGACTGTTTGGGAACAGACCAGTTCTCCAGGGCTTTCTGACCTGCAACACTGAGCTCATGTTCCAGAGACTGCAACCGACCGTGTTTTTTTTTCTCTCTCTCTCTCTCCAGGCCTGTGCTTCCTAGTCAATCAATCTCCATGTTATCACTGAAACGAGTTTTTTAAAAATCCCACATGTGGGCAACTGGATAGCTTTCCAAATGTTTGATACAAGAACACAGAAGAGACGAGATGGGAACACAAGCTTTCGATAACCAGAGCAGCAAGTTCACAGAAAGTGGCCACATTTTCAAAGGTGGAACTATTTAAAGCCAAGGTACTTCTTCTCACACTAATAATATATTTCTTTAATATGTTTTGGATGGAAAGTTAAGTGGGGGGGGAACACCCAAAGCACCCCATTTGTGTGGATAAAGTTGTGGGAGGACTTCTGCAGTTTCCAGAGCACCCGATGTAACGGTTGCGCCTGGAGCGGTGTTGAAAACAGCCTTTGGTCAGATTTTACGGCTCAATGCTACAAAGGCTAAGATTGGTGGGCAGCCGTTTCTGGTGCAACACCAGCCCAGAAAGAAACAACTGAGTCTGTGCTTGTCTGCTCTAAAGCAACATGGAACACTAAACAGTTTGTCTTCACTACAGCTGCGGCCAAATCCCAACTTCAAGTCTAGGCTAATGGGGTCTGAACTTGTTAAGACTGAGAGGGAAAAAGACCTTGGGGTCATAAGTGGATAGTTCAGTGAAACTGTCAACCAAGTGTGCTGCAGCGGAGAAAAAGGCAATCTCTGTGTTAGGGATTATTAGGAAAGGGATTGCACATAAAACAGCCAATACTGTAATGCCGCTGCATCGATCTATGGTGCTGCCTCATTTGGAATACTGTGTACAGTTCTGGTCACCATATCTCAAAAAGGACACTGCAGAGCCAGAAAAAGTCCAGAGGAGGGCAACCAAAATTATTAGGGGGTTGAAGCACCTTCCCTATGAGGAAAGGCTGAAGAGTCTTGTGGGACTTTTCAGTTTAGAAAAGAGACGACTAAGGGAGGACATTGATAGAGGTTTGCAAAATTATGCATGGAGGTAGAGAGACTTGACAAAGAGAATTTTATCTCCCCGACCCAGAATACTAGAACTCGAGGGCATCCAATGAAGCTGATGGGCAGTAGGTTCAGGAAGGAAAAAAAAGGAAATACTACTTTACACAGAGAATGATTAAAACGTAGAATTCACTGCCAGAGGATGTAGTGATGGGCCACAGGAGTAAACAGCTTTAAAAGGGGATTAGATAGGTTCATGGAAGATAAGTCTATCAATCGTTATTAGCCATGGTGGCTGAGGGGAACCTGCACATTCAGAGGCACTAAACTTCTGAATCCCAGAGCCAGGAGGCTACATCAGGGGAAGGCCTGCTGTTGGCCCTCCAGAGAAACTGGTTGGCCACTGTGTGAGACAGGATGCTGGACTAGAGGGACTATTGGTCTGATCCAGCAGGGCCCATCTTATATTCTTAGGAGAAATGGTTTAAACATAAGACGATGGATTGTCACCTTGATCGACAGAGCGGTGAGTTGTTTCATGTGCAGAAGATGTTCCTCAAAGTCTTTTTTCCCTATTCTTGTGACGAATCATATTTTGATTGACAGAACATTTTACCTGACGCTCAGCTCCCTCCCGCGCACGCAAAACAAATCGACCGAGGCAATGCCACGTTGACGCAAGCGTGCCTAAAGTGGGAATACTTTAATGACTGCAGGAACCGAGACACTTTCTTGGGCTGCCCCTCTGCTACAGGAGCAGGAAGGTACTCCTTGATTACAGCTTTACGGCCCGGTACAAAGTTGCGTCTCTGCTGTTTGTGAAGACCTGCTTGTGTGCACATACCTCCTGACCAAAGAACACCGGCACTCACCTCTGTTAGAACCATCTTCTTAGGTCCCAGTCCTAAGGAGAGAAGAACAACAGGGTAAGGGGGTTGAATGCCCATTCCTTCAGAAACAGCATCTCACACCAAGAGTATTTCACGGCCCTAAATGCCGGCAGGATGACTACGAGGCTGTGCTCAGATCAACTTGACCCAGAATGATCCCCCTCCTACGCCCTCTCCCAGCCCCTCCCCCAAATAATCCAGAGCACATTTACTTACACATAAGCTCTGCTAACTTGAAGGGAACCTCTGCCCTAGCAAGCAGACTACGGATCCCAGCATTAGCTCTTCGAGAGCCGTTCTGTGTGATACTCGAGGAGGAGATTGGATTTATACCTCACCCTTCACTACCCGAAGGAGTCTCAGAATTGCTTACAATCTCCTTCCCTTCCCCTCCCCACAACAGACAACCTGTGAGGTAGGTGGGGCTGAGGGAACTCTTTCGAGAACTGCCCGTGAGGGAACAGCTCTGAGAGGACTTGTGACTGACCCAAAGTCACACCAGCAGCTGCAAGTGGAGGAGTGGGGAATCAAACCCGGTTCTCCCAGATTAGAGTCTGCTGCTCTTAAGCATTACACCAAACTGGCTCTCGAGGGCCAAGGGCAGTCAGCCTGCGTGCAGATCATGTTATTACAGGCTGCAAGCGGGCCTCGCTCCTACGTAAAAACAGCACACAAGGGAATAAGATGGGTGAGAATCCTCCCCTTTGATAAGCTCACTCTTTATGTACAAGGAATGTTTTTTTTGGGGGGGGGGTTGGCATGGAAGCAAACTTTTCACAAGAATGCCACACTCCCTAGTCCCAAAGGCTGCCCACCCCCCAAGAGGTAGACCAAAGTGAGGTGGTCAGTAAGGCTTTAGAACGTGTCACTGCATCAGCCGTGACGGCTCCTCAACCTCAAAGGTGGCCCAAGCATAAGGAAGCAGCGTAGAGAAAGACTGAGCGTTCGCCTGATACGCTAGTTTCAGCACCAAAAAAACCCCAGACCCTGCACAGTAAGCATATTTACAGAACACCTTTTATTTTACATGATTTATCCAGCTGCTCATCACAGGTATGAAGGGCCACGCAGGGTTACTAGAGTTAGAAAGAAGAAGAGTAGGTCTTTATACCCCTCTTTTCTCTACCTGAAGGAGTCTCAGAGTGGCTTACAGTCGCCTTCCCTTCCTTTCCCCACAGCGGGCACCTTGTGAGGTAGTTGGGACTGAGAGAGTTCTGAGAGAATGGTGACTGGCCCAAGGTCACCTAGCCGGCTTCATGTGGAGGAGTGAAGACTCAAACCTGGGCCTCTAGGCTCTCCCAGGTTAGAGTCCGTCTGGTCTACTCTGACTGGTAGCAGCTCTCCAGGGTCTCAGACAGAGGACTTTCACATCACCTACTGCCCTGTCCTTTAAAGTTGGAGATCCTGGGACTGAACCTGGGACCTTCTTCATGCCAAGCAGATGTTCTATCACTGATCCACAGCCCCTGCTCAAAACATGGAAACATACAACCACCACCCAAAAACGATTCCACAGGAGCTGGATCAGGCATACTGTGCGCTTGCACGGAACTCCCACACACACAACACCCTGCGAAGTGACAAGATCACAAAAACCCCTCCGTTACACCTAAGCACGATGGTCCCACATCTTCCGCTATGAAGCCTGAACCACATTAACACACTTTCCCCCATTGCTATAGGGAGATTCCAGGGGAAGCACTGGCTAATTGTTGTTCTGCACGGTGCCAGGATCCCAAAGCAGGAGATTTGCAGTAATTATCGCAAGCAGCTTGACTTCCCAGCTTGTAAGCACCTAATAGGTTCTGTACTAAGCACAGCCCAGGTCAGGAGAGGGTACAGCTGGAAACCCTAGGAAAATAGGACTGAGGAAGGAGCTTTGCGCACGTAAGCATGCACACACACACACACTTGCCTATTTTATTTTTATTCTGCTATTCAACCCAAAAAATTGGACCCCAAAGCAACTAACAAAACACCATACAGATACATCAGGCACACAATAGTCGTGTCCTATCTGTCATATAGCCATGGCCAAAAAGGAGGGGGCGGGTAGTTCTATCGGCTACTCAGCGGGAGCGTTTAAGAGCATACTTATCTCATAAGCAAGCTGACAGATGTCCTCGTGAGAAAAACTAATTTAACTCCAGCTTCAGGGCAAGCAACCAGCAGGGGTCCATTCATTCACACACACACACACACACACCTAATCAGGCACACGGCTGTGCATGAAAAAGGACATGGTGGGCAGTAACCCCCGCACTCTTGAGGGTGGGGGGAACCCTGCTACGATCACAGAAATATTACAGAAACGGTTTAGGGTATGCTCACGTTTAGGCAGGTTCCCATGGTCAGGAGAGTCAGATTCAGAGACAGACAAAGCAAACACGGCGCGTGCATTCTCCAACCCAGTCAAAAGTGCAGGCTCCTTATACCTTTGTAGCCCTGTACAGTCCTTGGTAGCTAGCTTAGTACACTCTGTCCAGTCCTCAGGCCAGGAGGAGGCTGGTTCAAGGACCAGATCCCTGGATGCAGCCCAGAAGTTGGCCCTTGTGCCAAGCCAAAGGAGAGGAGAAGGCCTCGGCCACTCTGTCTTGCTGCTGGCCGTCCAGGGGACCTGGCTGGCCACTGTGAGAAGGGATGCTGGAATCAATGCTCATTCTAAGCTGTCTTGTGAGCAAAAATTCTACTTTGTGAGCTACTGGCATTAAAGTTGTGAGCGGGTGATCTGGCTACTGCATTCATTAGTTTGCTCTGGAGCCCTCCTTCCTGAGCCGAGACAAAAAATGTGTGAGCAGGAAGGCTCAAAAACTGTGAGCTGGCTCACACTAACTCAGCTTAGAGGGGACACTGGCTGGAATGCTAGATTAGATGGACCAGCAGGGCATTCTGATGAGAGGAAGAGGTGTGACACTGCTCCTGCCCACTCTCACCCGGCCGCCTCTCTCTGCCGTCTTGCCATGTGCCCCTCAGAACCGGAAGTAGAGGGGGGCTGCTTCACCTTGTCCCCCTCTTCCGTGGACAGCACCTCCCTCAGCCTTAGAACAAGAAGAAGAAGAAGAAGAGATTGGATTTATCCCCCGCCCTTCACTACCCAAGGGAGTCTCAGAGTGGCTTGCAAACTCCTTTCCCTCCCCACAACAGACACCCTGTGAGGTAGGTGGGGCTGAGAGAGCTCTGACAGAAACTGCTCTTTTTCAAGCACCGCTGTTATCAGAACTATGGCTTGCCCAAGGTCATCCAGCCAGGTGCAAGTGGAGGAGTGGGGAATCAACCCCAGTTCTCCCAGATTAGAGTCTGCGCACTTAACCACTACACCAAACTGGCCCCTTCTCTTCTTCCTTGGCCATCATCTGGAACCTCCTTTTAAAACCCTTGTTGTCTCCACCCCTTCCCCACAGACGCCCCATCCAAGGCCTGGTTCTGCCCCTGCCAGTGCCTCGACCGATCCCTGGCCTAGGTGGCTACTGACCTTCATTACTTCTTCCCCTTATGCGTACCTGGCCCTTCTCGGCTTCTCGCACTCAGGCAGGCTAACCAAAGGTGAAGGCTACCGGGTCCCTGGGCTCTCCCTACTTTGCAGCAAGCCCACTCCACCCCACACACACTAACTCTAACAAGCTCAGCCCCTGTAGGACAAGGGAAAAATGAATGTGATTTCTGAATGTGGGTTCTGACATTTCCTCTGACATGTTTATATGCTGACAGCGGTCACTGTGCCTTTAAGAGTTTAATTATAATAGATCCAGATCTTGGTTATGTAACCTAGAATCTTCTGCTTAGAGAAACGTATAGTAGAGTATATATTTTATAACTGCGTTTTTTTAATATGAAGCTATATATTAAAGGAAAGCATTATTAGAGGTCTCTGGGGATAGAATTAGGATGCAATAAGAATGGAATGCGTATCCAAGAAGCTGCAAGGGCGCCAAGAGCGAAGTTGAATGTGAATCGCAACCCTCATCACCTAGCTCCCCAAAATCAAGGGAAAGTGGGAAAGAGGGACTAGCTTCACTGAGGTCAGAAAGGATCTGTGTGTTCCCGAATGTTCCCATTGTCCTGGAGAACAGATAAACAAATGCAATCACTGACAATACATTACCAATATAAGGAAAGACCAATGGTAAGGTTTAAAGTCAAATTATGCTTGTATGATGCTAACTGCCTGGTACCAATTAGAGACCCTTTAACGAGCAAACTGTATGCGACGTCATTACGGGAATAAGACCTTCTACCCTTCCTGGTTGTGGCAGAATACAGCTTTGGGATTGCTGAAGTGCTAAAGTACTCAGCCCTGTAATCCCGGTTTCAATGCATTAAACAGATACTCATCTAACTCGTTTGGACTCTGTGTGTTTCTGATTCGGCAACGGGAGCACGCAGGCAGACTGGTGTATCAGTCTGGGATATCTGGTGCTGGAGCCCGTTCATCCCCATCCCTACCAAACTGGGCTCCACCCCAACCATTCCAGCCTTGGTGCTGGGGAAGGCTGCTCACGGCTCCCCCAGCCTCTGCCCCACCTGTGCCCCTAGAAGGACGCACCCAGGTAAGGCCCTGACAGAGCGATCTCCAGTCAAAGGGAAATGTCAAGGAAAGCATCATCAGAACTAAAAAAGGAGAGTCCCCTTCAGCAATTCTTGGGGAAGAGGGAGAAGAGATCGGATTTATACCCTGCCCTTCACTACCCAAAGGAGTCTCAGAGCGGCTTACAATCTCCTTTCCCTTCCCCTCCCCACAACAGACACCCTGTGAGGTAGGCGGGGCTGAGAGAGCTCATTCGAGGACGGCTCTTGAGAGAACAGCTCTGAGAGAACTTGTGGCTGACCCAAGGTCAGTTGCATGTGGAGGAATGGGGCATCAAACCCGGTTCTCCCAGATTAGAGTCCACACTCCTAACCACTACACCAAACTGGCTCGCACTGGGAGCACTGGGGAAAAGGCTCTCATTGGGAACTGGCTCTCATTGGGAACATTGGGAAAAGGGATATTCAGTTCTGGGAATATCACCCATTG